AGCTTGTGCATCGAGGATCATTCCCTTAGGGAGCAACCACTCTTCCTGAACTCCCCTCTCCCTGGGGTTGTGGTACCTTAGGGCCTCACTGACAAGCCTCTTCAGCTTGTCAAAGTCAGCTTTCCTGAAGTTAAGGACTTTCGTGTTGCTAACTGACTTGCCAGCTTTACGGCGGATAGCGAAGGTGATCAGCTCGTGGTTGCTTTCACCCAGCTTCCCATCGATCACTTGGTCGCTGATTAGGTCATCCCCAGTAGCCAGTACCAAGTCGAGCAGCGCTTTGTCACCTTCTTAATTCACCAAAGAGCAGGCAAACCCCTCAGCAAGACAGAAGTCCTCAGCTTTGGGAAGGCTGACTTTTGCAAACTGATAGAATTGGTCAGTCAGGCAATTAGAGGGCATGCCCCTCCCAGAAAAGGGAGTACACGAGGAATGGTCATCTCTCAAAAACAGAATCCTTGAAGCACAGGGCAAAGCCATACCATCTCACAAGAAATGCAGTCAATGGGCAAGGAAGACCCCATGGCTGAATAAACTGTTGAACCTCATTAAATTCAAAAGAGTAGCCTACATCAGCTGCAAAACAGGAAGCATTACCAAAGACAATTACTCTGTACTCGCCTGCGGTTGAGAAAAGCCAAGCTACAAACCGAACTTAGGCTTGCTACAGGGATCAAGGATAACAAAAGTCCTTCTTCAGGTATGTGGGAAATAGGAAAAAGAACAAGGACAGTATTGGGCCCCACAAGATCCAACAAGGCAACTGACATCTGATGCCCTAGAAAGGGCCAATCTCCTAAATTACGTTTTTGCATCGTTTTTCCACCTTCCCAGGAGGATCCCACTGTCAGGAACGACACAAACCAATCTGGGAGCAGGCAACGGGCCCAAAATCAATGTGGATCGGTGAAGGAACACCTTGAGAAACTAGACATTCACAAGTCAGCAGGGTCCAGACAGAATGCACCCAAGAGTCTTGAAGGAACTGGCAGACATCATTGCATCCCCCTTGGCATGGATATTTGAAAAATTGTGGCACTCAGTTGAGGTCCTGGATGACTGGAAAAGAGCCAGCGTGGTCCCTATCTACAAGAAAGGGAAGAGGGATGACCCGGGGAACCATAGACCAATCAATTTGACGTCCATCCCTGAAAAAATCCTGGAGAAAATTGTCAAGGGATCCATCAACACCAGACTAACAGAAGGCAAGCTTCTGAATGCCACCCAACATGGCTTTGTGACTGACAGGTCTTGCCTGACCAACCTCATCTCCTTCTATGACCGGGTAACATGTGCCCTGGACAATGGAGATGATGTGGACATCATATATCTGAACTTCAAGAAGGCCTTTGACCTAGTTCCCCATGACATCCTCATGGTTAAGCTGGGGAACTAATGGCCTTGATCATCATATGGTCTGATGGCTAGGTAACTGGCTACGGGGTCAGACCCAAAGAGTACTAGTTGAAGGGAGCAAATCAACGTGGTGCAGGGTTACCAGTGGAGTGCCTCAGAGCTTGGTACTTGGGCCGGTACTCTTTAACATCCTCATCAATGATCTGGATTCGGGAGTCAGATGTGAACTGGCCAAATTCGGACAATACCAAGTTATGGGGAAGGGCCATCACACCGCAGGACAGGCAAGGGATACAGGTCGACTTGGACATGCTCTTAAGGTGGGCCAACCAAAACCTGATGGCCTTCAATGCAGAGAAGTTCAAGGTGCTGCACCTCAGTAGGAAGAACTCCCAGCATGCTTACAGGCTTGGCAGTGCTACGCTCGTTAGCACCCTGACTGAAAGGGACTTGGGGGTCTTGATTGACCACAAGATGAATATGAGCCACCAACATGATGTGGTGGCTGGCAAAGCTAACCAAACTCTGGCGTGCATCCACCAGTGTATCTCAAGCAAAACCAGGAAAGTCATCCTCCCACTTTACTCGGCCCTGGTGAGACCACAGCTGCATCCAGTATTGGGCCCCCCACTTCAGGAAGGATGTGGAGAAGCTTGAGACAGTCCAGAGGAGAGCCACTCATATGATAGTCCAGAGGAGAGCCACTCATAAGGCCTCAAGGGAAGGCCATACAAGGAGAGGCTGAGGGACTTGGGACTCTTCAGTCTGGGGAAGAGAAGGCTCAGGAGGGACTTGGCAGCCTACAATTACATAAGAGGGATTGATACATCAGGACCTGGGAGAACACCTACTCACCAAGGGATAACAAGATCTAACAGCCATAAACTCCCCAAGGGATAACAAGATCTAACAGCCATAAACTCCAGGAAGGCCAATTTAGACTTGACATAAGAAAAAAGTTCTTTACAATGCGTGTGTTCAAGGTCTGGAACAAACTCCCCCCAGAGGTAGTGCAAGCACCTACTCTGGACTCCTTCAAAAAACAACTAGATTTATTTCTTGCTGGGGTTACTTGATCCCAGCTGACATCCCACCTATGGCGGCAGGGGCTGGACCCAATGATTTCATGAGGTCCCTTCCAGCCCCTAATGTCTATGAAATCTATGAAACTGATGGCTCATAATCAGCTTATGGCCTATTATCACCCTCAGATCCTTCTCTGCAGTTTGGCAACCTAGCCACTCTTTCCCGAGGCTATATGTGTGCATGAAATTAGCCCATCCCAAGTGCAAGACTGCAGTTGTCCTTCTTGAATTACATATGATTGCAGGTAATTCTGGATCCTACCCCTGTCTTGCACTGTCTTCACCTCCATCAAATTTGGTGTCAACTGCCAAGCATGCACTTGACCCCATTATCCAAATCATTAAGGAAGATGCTGAACAATAGCAGACTCAGGATAGACCCCTGCAGAACCCCACTTGACACCTTTACCCAGCTAGACATTGAGCCACTGACGATTCCTCGCTGAGCACTAGTTGCAAATGTTCCAACCAGTTATGTAACCAAGTTACAGCACTTCCATCTAGTCTGTATTTCCTTAACTTGT